TTTTTTTTTTAGGATTTTGGATTAGTGTTTGAAGAAGTCATAATTAGTTGCACTTGCTCTTCTGGGAGGCTTTTGATTTGTTAAATTTGTGATTGACTTGCATTTGGAATTCGTAGTTATTAGTTCTGCAATCCTTTGATTAAGTTGGTTAATGGTCAATGTTGTATACTATTTTGTTGGCGGCCTAACAAGAAAAGTTTTGAAACAATTGTAGTGCCAAACTTTTGTTAAAGAGAGCTGCTGTATCGAGGCTGAAGCCGGTTGTTGTTTTGGTCCTCGGCTTCGTGGAATGGGTACCAATGGCACCGCTTGTCCTTCTCCTATGAAGGCTACATCCAATGGTGTATTCCAGGGTGATGATCCTCTTCACTTTGCACTCCCTCTCGTTATTTTGCAAATCTGTTTGGTACTTGTGGTCACTCGAGTCCTTGCTTTTCTTATGAGGCCATTAAGACAGCCACGAGTTATCGCGGAGATTATTGTAAGTCTCTTTTTCTTTCTTTGCTTGAATGTAATATACGTGCAATCAAAGTTTTCCCCCAAATGATTTTCATTAAGAATATAATCTTATGATTTTTGAGTTTGAGAGGCTTTTGATGTCGAAGTTGTGGGCTAAAATTATTTCTTAGCCCTCAGAAGTTTGTAAACTGAAACGTAGCAGTTGTCTGAGCATAGAATACTTGAATTTTGGTTTTAAAGGCTTTTCCGGTTTTTGATTTTTGTTGTCCCGGTTCTAATATCTATCAACTTATTTTGGATAAAATATATAGCTTGCTTAAGTAGTAAAAGGAGATGGAACCATTAGTATTGACTTAAGTAATAATCTTTTGAGACCCAATTGGAAGTGTTACCTATCCTCATCCAAAGCATTATTTGACTAATTTCACACAACAGAAATAAAGATAAAACTGAGCTACAGTACACACATTACCTTATATTGTTTCATTTGTCAGGGAGGAATACTACTTGGGCCATCGGCTCTAGGACGGAACCAAAATTATCTTCATGCAATTTTTCCAGCCAGGAGTCTCACTGTGTTAGACACTCTAGCAAATCTTGGTCTTCTATTCTTTCTCTTCTTGGTGGGTCTGGAGTTGGATCCTAAATCCATTCGCCGGACTGGAAAAAAGGCCCTGGGCATTGCAATTGTAGGAATCAGCCTCCCGTTTGCTTTAGGAATTGGTTCATCTTTTATCCTCCGTGCAACCATATCTAAAGGTGTAAGTAGTGCTGCTTTCCTGGTGTTCATGGGAGTGGCCCTTTCAATTACTGCCTTCCCTGTCTTAGCTCGTATTCTGGCTGAGCTGAAACTTTTGACCACCGATGTTGGTAGGATGGCTATGTCAGCCGCGGCAGTCAATGATGTAGCTGCATGGGTTCTTCTTGCTCTCGCCATTGCCCTATCAGGGTCTAACCAATCTCCCCTTGTCTCGTTGTGGGTCTTACTGTCTGGTTGTATTTTCGTAATTAGCTGTATCATCCTCGTTCCTCCAATCTTCAAATGGATGTCTCAGAGATGCCATGAAGGTGAACCAGTGGATGAGATGTACATATGTGCAACATTAGCTGCTGTTCTGGCTGCCGGGTTCATTACCGATACTATTGGAATTCATGCCATGTTTGGTGCTTTTGTCATCGGAGTTCTTGTTCCAAAGGACGGTCCACTTGCCGGCGCCCTTGTGGAAAAAGTAGAGGATCTTGTATCTGGTCTATTCCTACCTCTGTACTTTGTTTCAAGTGGATTGAAGACCAATGTAGCCACCATTCAGGGTCTCCAATCATGGGGTCTTCTAGTTTTAGTTATATTCACGGCTTGTTTCGGGAAGATCTTTGGCACTGTCATGGTGTCCTTGTATTGTAAAGTGCCTATCCGTGAGGCTTTAGCACTTGGGTTCCTAATGAACACTAAAGGCTTGGTGGAACTCATTGTCCTCAACATTGGTAAAGACAGAAAGGTATTTCACCACGATTGTGAATTCTTAATATATTTATTTTTTCAAACAGAATCTTGTTTGTTGTTTAGTTGAAAGACTGAGTGCATATTATCATTCTTCGTTGCAGGTTTTGAATGACCAAACTTTTGCCATAATGATTCTAATGGCTGTCTTTACTACTTTCATTACCACGCCTCTTGTAGTTGCTGTCTATAAGCCAGCAAAAAGGGCAAGAATGGCCGAGTACAAGTACAGAACAATTGAGAGGAAAAATCCAAACTCTCAACTCAGGATCTTGGCCTGTTTCCATTCGCAAAGAAATGTTCCATCGTTGCTTAACCTGCTCGAGTCCTCAAGAGGAACCGAAAAGCATCAAGAACTTTGTGTATATGCACTGCATCTCATGGAGCTTTCCGAGAGGTCATCAGCTATACTTATGGTACACAAAGCACGAAGAAATGGATTGCCATTTTGGAACAAGGGCCACCGATCAGATTCTGGTAATATTGTCGTGGCATTTGAGGCTTACCGGCAACTAGGACGAGTGTCAGTCAGGCCAATGACATCGATTTCTTCAATGTCCGATATGCATGAGGACATTTGTACTACTGCTGAGGGAAAAAGAGCTGCAATCATAATCCTTCCATTCCACAAGCACCAAAGGCTGGATGGCTCATTGGAGACTACCCGGAGTGACTTCCGCTGGGTTAACAGGAGGGTACTTGAGCGTGCGCCTTGCTCGGTTGGAATTTTCGTTGATCGTGGACTCGGTGGAAGTAGCCATGTGGCTGCGAGTAACGTTTCCTATTCCATTACAGTTCTCTTCTTCGGGGGTCGAGATGACAGAGAGGCCCTTGCTTACGGCAGTCGCATGGCTGAGCACCCGGGTATCAGACTAACGGTTATTCGCTTTCTAGTGGAGCGTGAGGCTGCAGGGGAGATTACAAGAGTTAACATGGAAGAAGATTCTAGCACCATTTTGGACTCAGTAGATGAGGTGCTCCTGAACGAGTTCAAGAAGACTAAGGCCGACAACAACTCCGTCAAATATGAAGAGAAAGCTGTTACAAGTCCGGAACAAGCCATTGCCATAATCCGTGAGACTGGCCGCTGCAATCTATATCTGGTTGGTCGAATGCCTGCCGGTGAAGTGGCCTTGGCTTTAACGAGGAGGAGCGAGTGCCCGGAATTGGGGCCTGTGGGGACTTTGTTGACTTCACCAGATTTCTCTACGACAGCATCAGTTTTGGTTCTGCAACAATACAATGGTCAGGTTCCCCAGAATTTTACCTCAGAAAGTGCGGAAGAAGTGTCAACAGAAACAGACTGAATAATCAATAATCACCTAACTGGATTTCTTGTTCTATAACTTGAACTTGCCAATTAGACGGGCTAATAACTAGTGCTAAAAAACCACTTTGCACAAAGAATAAATGCAGTTTTTGAGAAGTTGGATTTTATTCTTTAAAAGGAAAGAGAAACGCTGGGCCTTTTAGCTTTTTTTATTTTTTATTTTTTATTTTTTAATTAGACTTGAACTTGCCAATTAGATGGGCTAATAACTAGTGCTAAAAAACCACTTTGCACAAAGAATAAATGCAGTTTTTGAGAAGTTGGATTTTATTCTTTTAAGGAAAGAGAGACGCTGGGCCTTTTAGCTTTTTTTATTTTTTATTTTTTATTTTTTAATTAAATATGCTTTACTAGCAAAAAAAGCAAGTTCTGCCAGTTATTGCACAGCTCGACTCGTGTAACGCTAGAAGTTAGGAACAATAAACCATATCTGTTAATATGATTTTGTTTCTTTACTCTACTGATCTACATACGTTTAACGCCTAGTAGTAAACTTAACGCATATGGTAATGTTACCGTATTTCTTTTTTAAGGGACGCACAAGGTACACTAGACTTGACAGTATATTTTGTTTGGAGAAATTTATATATTTACGCCCTACGCTTTTAGATTTATTTAGTGCAGGTTTTAATTTCTTCCCCAGAGCATATTTTATGGCGGTCTAAATTCTATTTTGGTATCAAAAATTGTAAAAATGTTCTAAATTTTTCAAAAATAAAAAATGCTCAATCCCAACTTGGCACTCAAAGGAGGACAAACAAAAAAAATCCCATAATCAGATTAAAGAACCAAACTAGAACATCAAAGCCAAACATTCTTAGCGAGAAAGAACAAAACCCAACATCAGCTTCGCAATCGAAGTGCTGGCCCCGTATTTTTTCGCTGATTTGAGTTTAGAATTCGAGTTTTATTACAGCAAAAAGCTCTCAGAAACAGTCACATTTAATTTTTTTACTACAGTAAAAAGCTCTCACACAACATCATATCTCAACTCGAATTAAAAACTCAAATTAGCGAACCGAACGGGCTACGTAAAAACCCGATTAGCAAATTAAAATATAAGCATTGATCATGTCAACTTGATTTTGCCTAAAAGCAAAGGGAGAGGAGAGAAAGAGAGTTAGCGAGCGGGGGAGAGGGAGAGATGAGTGTCAAACGCTTAAAACTGAAACAAGCCAGCGCAATGGCTGACAAAGCAAAAGAGAAAATAGACAAAAGTCCTAAAACTCTTGTCTTGAAGGAAAAGAAGATCTAGCCATAAAACAAGCTAGCTAGACGATGTCTCGTTAAAATCCTTATTCGGTATAAAATTCAGCAAAAAAAACACCCATAAGAAAAAAAGAGTGCGTGATCTATCATTTAAGAAAATCTTTTTTTTGAAAGGATTCAAGAAATAATAAAATAAAATAAAATAATAATAATAATAATAATAA